ATGGTCCTGCTGTTGGATGAAGGAGAAACATCTGCGAGACTAGCCTCTGTGGGGAATCGTGCATAAATGTCTGTCTCTCATCGATAGTTTTCACTTTTGATTTCTTAAATGATTGAATTTCTCTAGTTCGGATTTTCACTGTCATCCCCTGAAGACGATTGTGGATCCTAACAATCGAAAGATCGTGAAGTAACTTGACTAGTAAAAAGGTCAAAAAAACTCTTCCAAATAACTATAGATCAGTCGTTTTGCTATCAGTGATATGAAAAATCATGGAAAAAGTTGTGAACCTCCGTATCCTCAAATATTTGGAAGGCTTCAACATCTTGAGCGATCATCAATATGGCTTTCGGAAACAAAGATCAACAGGCGACCTTCTATCGTATGTCACCCATAATTGGAATAACGCAATGGAGAAACATGAAGAGTAAAGAGCTATTGCGCTTGATATTCTTTGTGATATTTCTTTGACCGTGTGTGGCATGAGGATTCGCTGACCAAACTTCGATGCTATGGCTTTTCGAAACATTTTTGTGTATGGCTCCTCAGCCATACACAGAACGTTCCCTGCAAGTGGCCGTCGATGGATATCTCTCGAATACTTTCACCATCAACGCTGGTGTTCTCCAGGGATCCATATTGTCTCCAAACCTTTTTTTATTGTATATCAACGACTTATTGAAGAAAACCAAGAATCCAATATATTTCTCTGCTGACGACAGCACACTTGTCTCGTCATTACATTTGGATTCCAGGACATCGGTTCAATATCTTAATGGGGATCTAGAAGTGATTTTGAATTGGGATGAAAGTAACCAGGTTCAATTCAATGCCACAAATACCTAAGCTTCGGTTTTCTCCAAAAAGATAAATGTTTCTGAACCGGATATAATAAGGTCAGGTCAGACAATTCCGCTTTCTGCCTCGATACGTTTGTTGGGGGTTAAAATGGACACCAATATGTCTTGACACGATCATGTCGCNATTCCAATTTCTTATCTCCCGTTTTGGACTTCAAATACTCTATCATTGGCTCTGCAACTTTTTGAGCCACCGATTGGAGTTTCCTTTTCTCCCCTGCAGATGCCGAAGTTGATGGAATCTCTTCCGCAACATTTCTTTCCTCTGCTACTACCTCTGAAGTCTGTTGAGTAGTATTCTGGGTTGATCCTGGGTTGTATCCTGGGCGGTATCCTGGCTTTCTTCATTGCTTATACTCGACCTATGGCTCGAGGTGAAGTCCCGAAGAAACTGCATAGCCTCCAAGAGGTACCACTTTCTTTTCTTTCCTTCCCTGCTGCCTGAGGGTGTTTCTGAGTCCCTCATAACCCGATTGTAGGAGCTCCTCAGATTGGTCCACTTGATCTTGCAATCAGAAACTGCAACATAGAAATATAAAAATGCTGTATTTATTGATTAGTTACACAAAATTTCAAGTACTAAAAAGTGTCATTGTCTTTCTTGCAACAGGAGAATAATTCAAGTCATTGCACTACCATTTTCGTCTCGGAAAAAGGACCATATTCAGAATAGTTTATGAAGTTTCCCAGGCAATTTGGGATTTAGGAGGTCCGATTTTTTTAAAGACACCAACTAATGAGAAACTGTTGGAAGTTGCAGAGAAATTCGACCATTTGTGGAATTTTCCTAACTGCTTAGGAAGAGTGTGAGTTTTTTTACTATAAAAAATTCCATTCAATTGTGTTACAAGCTGTAGCAGATGCAGATGGGAAATTTTTATTTATTGATGTAGGATTACGGGAGAAACAGTGACGGGGGAGTATTCAAAAATTCCACTTTTGGAAAAAAATTGAGTCAAGGTTTTGATTTACCCAGAAGAGAATTACCATTTGTTTTTGTTGGAGATGAAGCTTACCCATTGAAGGGCAATTTGATGAGGCCCTACCCTAGGAGAAACTCAACTCCTGAAAAAAGGGTTTTTAATTATAGACTTTCTCGTGCCCGTGGAGTAGTGGAGTGCGCTTTTGGGATGTTAACTGAGAAGTTTGGTTTCTTGAAAACGGAACTTTTGCTGCCACCCGATAAAGTGGTTATATTAACGTCGCAGCATGTGATTTGGAGATATACTGGAGCCCAGATTATCGGAGGCAGCAGATCCTACTTCATCTTCTTCAACTGATCATGTTATTCGGCAGCGGTATTTACAATATTTTAACTCTGAAAGAGGGTCTGTGCCTTGGCAAAACAGATATGCTTATAATATTTAATTAAATTGTTAATTCAAATGTTTATTTTTTCTTTTCAATTCACTACGTACCTAATTATTCTAGGTCGTACAAAATAATACGATGATTGAAATGTTGATTTAAATTGTCAATTGAAATGTTTGTTTCTTTTAATTCATCACATGTGTTGTGACCCACGATTATTTTATCGTTAGTATGAATGCTTAATGCACACAAGAATTACAATAACTCTTGTGAAAGTATAGGATAAGAAAATAACTGGCAAGATGTTCTGTAGATAAGACAGAATTTTATTCTAACTGTACTCTTACAAGGTTTAATACGTACTGAATGATTTTACAAAATGCAATGTTTCACATCGGCAGTTAGAGAAAGGGTGAGATGGGTCATTGTAGGGATAAACAAAGGTTTTAATTAACATAGGTTGGAAAGGTCGTAATAGCCGGTTATTCCCAAAATAAGGGACACAAGGAACAATTAATAAACTAAAATTCTAGCTATTTTTAGCTTACAATATTTACGTGAAATAGACTTGAATATACGGGTTGCTTGAAAAAAGATATTCGAAACTATTGAATTTTATGAGGATAAGTGGATTAGAAAAAACCCGTACATTAGAAGAGCAACTGGGAAAACTCCGATTCGGAAATTAATTGAATAATGAAAATTAAATAACTTAAACAAGTTTAGTTAACAATACATAACATAAAAATAATGTCATAAAACAATTTGTTTTGTTGAACACATTTTAGAGCTGGCAACTCTAGGATAAATACTAAAATAATTTAGATTCACTTGAAAAAAAACAATAATTTCGATAGCAAGATTTTGAGACCGAACTACATACTTAAATATTCTAGCTCGTAATAGTTTCACTATCACGAAAGTGATAGTGAACCCGTTTATTTATTGTTTTTGACTCTAGTTCTATTTTTCTTCTTCATCCTCCTTACCTAGGCGGTAACAAGGGTTTACCCGGATTAAGGCCAAGCAACCGAAAGAGAGGATAAAATGGAAAGCAACATGGTTTGAAAGGTATTATATCCCTC